TCAGGGACAGTCAGTTTGGGGAAGAAAAGGGTTCGAATATGCTGGACGTCCTCCAGCCAAGCAATGAGGGGAGCTCTATCTACCTTGCTGCAACTTCTAATGCACATTGTGAGAAGCTCTAGTTTTTTTTTTTTTTTTAGTTTCAAAAGTGCAGCTGTAACTTTAAACATATGCACTGCAGTGTCTCAGAACCAGAAAAGCAAACAGGTATGCAAGTTTAATGGTGAAATTGGTGCAAATTGATTTTTACTTCACTGGTGATCAGATGGAAAAGCCAATCCCATCTCCCTGATCAGCAGAGATCACACGATCATCATGTGACTAGCTTTCTTCAAGATCTGGTGCAGAGATTTCCAAAACTAGAATAGGAATTGTTATGCTTTCTGATAGCTTTAAAACTGAAAGTGTACCCATTTGTGAAGTCAGGTACTGATGTTGGATGAGAAGACCTGGCTCACAATCGGCGTTCCAATCCATCCCAAATGTGTTCAGTAGGGTTGAGGTCAGGACTCTGGTTCCTGCACACCAAACTGATCACACCATGCCTTTATGGAGCTGGTTTTGTGTACACAGACATGGTGGAACAGAAAAGGGCCTTCTCCAAACTATTACCGCAAGGTTAGAAGAGCACAATTGTCTACAATGTCTTTGTATAATGTAGTATTAACAGGACCCTTCACAGGAAACATCTGGACCCAATCATTTGGAGGAGGGTCTACATACGTCTGTGCAAACAGGTAGGTGTGGTGGTCAGGGGTTTACTTTTTTTTCTCCATATCATGTATTGCCTATGGGCTCCATCTAGTCCTCCTGGTTGGATACCAAACAGTGCAACACATCTTCCACTGTGGGAGATGTGCAGCATCAAATGTCACAAAAACATTTCAAAGGCTGCATCAATGCCTAGAAGCACAGTGAAGTGTATTATTAAGAAGTGAAAGGTATTTGGTAGAACACAGACCCTCCCTGGATCAGGACGTCGCTCCAAGCTGGAAGAAAGAGCCAGAAGGAAACTGGTCAGAGAGGCTACCAAGAGGCCTCCAGCACAGCAACTCTGAAGCCGTGTCAGGAATTGATGACAGAGTGGTCATTGTGTGCAATGTGACAACACTATCACAAATCCTCAACAAATGTGGCCTGTATGGGAGGATTGCAATAAAAATCGCTCCTCAAGAAAGGCCACATGCAGCCAACACTGAGCTTTGCCAAAACATACCTTGAAGATTCTGAGGCCACATGGGAAAAGATGTTCTGGTCAGGTGAGATTGAAATGGAAGGATTGAACACTAAAAATGATATGTCTGGTGGAAATTCAATCCAGCTCACCATCCAAATACCACCATTCCTATGGTAAATTATAGAGGTCGTAAAATCCTGTTATGGGGGTTTCTCTGCAGCAGGGACTGGAACACTTGTCAGGATAGGAGAAAAAAATAGATGAGGGAAAATTCCATCACGTTTGTGATTAACCATTTCAATACCGGGCAATTTTACACCTTCCTGCCCCCAGGCCATTTTTCAGGTTTCAGCGCTCTCACACTTTGAATGACAATTGCGCGGTCATACAACATTGTACCCAAACTAAAATTTTATCATTTTCTTCACACAACTAGAGCTTTCTTTTGGTGGTATTTAATCACCGCTGGGGTTTTTATTTTTTGCTAAATTAACAAAAAAAGACCAAAATTTTTGAAAAAAAAAAAAACATTTTTCTTTGTTTCTGTTATAAAAGTTTACAAATAAATAATTGTTCTTCATAAATTTAGGCCGAGATGTATTCTGCTACATGTCTTTGGTGAAAATAACCCAAATTAGGATGTATTTTTAGTTTGTAGGAAAGTTATAGAGTTCACAAACTATGGTATAGATCTGAAAATTGATCAATCCTGAAGTACTGACGGCCAATCTAATATCTTGAGGTCCAAGAATGTCAGAACAGTACAGATATCCCCCAAATGACCCCTTTTTGCAGAGTAGACAGTCCGACGTACTTCATAAGAGGCATGGGGAGTTTTTTGAAGTTGTATTTTTTTGTCATAATTTTTCGGAAAATGAAAAAATTAAAAAAAATTATTTTCACTATTTTTTTTTTTTTTTACATACTGTCACCAGTGCAGTACAGCGTCATCATATAACTGGCATGGCAGTGAACAGCGACACTGACTGGTGACAGTATGAAAAAAAAAAAAAAAATTTTTTTTAAATTTTTTTTTATTTTTTTTTTATATTTAATTTTTTATTACATTTTTTTTAATATTTTTTTTTCATATTTTACTATGACCAAAATAGTACAATGATACCATAGTAACATTGTACTACTTTGGGGAAGTGATCAGTATTTTTTTTTTTTTTTTTTTTTTTTTTTTTTTTTTTTACACAATTTGCTTATAGCAAAGAATTACTTTGCTATAAGCAAGCATTTACCTGAATGAAATCGATTCATTCAGCTTTTTTTTTTTTTTTTTTTTTGTGCTTAGCTGTGATTTGGTCGCAGCTAATCACATGACATGTGCATGTGATTAGCTGTGACCATTCACAGCTAGGCACTAGTATACAATGGATGGCATCATGAATGAAGCCATCCATTGTATACAACTGTCATGTGACCTGCTGTGATTGGTCACAGCAGGTCACATGGTACCGGCAACGGGAGCCGGTACTCGGATCTGTCATCGGCCGTGTCCGAGGTGCACGGGCGGTGACAGATCGCACTGCTGCGTCGCTCTGCAACCGCGCATGTGCGGGAGCACGCCAAATGGCGTGCACCCGGAATACAGGAGCACATTTGAAGCCGCCAAACGGCCATTGGCCGGGCGGCTAACGGTTAAAATCTGCTGCCTTCTGCCAGAAGGTTGTCAATGGGAAGAAGGTTTACCTTCCAACACGACAATGACCCAAAGCACACAGCAAAAATGACTACATAATGGTTGAAGGTGAATGTCCTTGCATGGCCTAGTCAGAGCCCACACCTAAACCCCATTGAAAATCTGGAATGACTTGAAGACTGCAGTCCACAAACGGTCACTATCAAATGTAACTGAACTTGAGCCGTTCTGAAAAGAACGGGCAAATATTACAAAGTCTAGGTGTGCAAAGTTAGTAGAGACATTTCCCAACAGACTGAAGGCTGGTATTAAAGCAAAAGGAGCTTCAACAAAATACTGGCACAAAGCGGTGATCCTTTTTCCAACTCTGTGATTCTGTTTTTGATGGTTTTTTTCTGACATGTTGGTGTTCTTTCACTTTGATGTTATAAGTTACAGTAAAACCGTGTCTGTCTTCATTTCAGGCTGCAAAGCAACAAAATGTGATTATTTTAAAAGTGGGAGCGGGGGGGGATTCTTTTATATACCCACTGTTCCTATCCAGGGATCCAAATAATTCTGGCTTCACTGTCAGTTTATTACTGCGCATGCGCGAGACGCGCTATGTGAATGGTCCCGCAGTCTTCTGGGACATGTGCTGTGTCCCAGAAGGCTATGGAGGAAAGGGGGTGGGGATGAACTTCCACTTAGATCGCTGAGGCAATCCGACTGGAAATGGGAGTGGGTACCTGTCAAAACCAGGTACCCCCCCCCCCAAAAAAAAAAAATGCCAAGTGCTTCAGAGGAGGGGATGAGAGATGCAAATTTGGGTGAAATTCTGCGTTAAGCTCTGATGAAGATAGAAAGAGAGAGGGTGCGTGTATGAATCCCAAAACACGCTGGATACCTTATTCTAATGATCATTTAACCAGTTCAAGTCCGGAAATATGAATTTTTTTAGCATTTTTTTGAGACAGATAAAGCTTTATTTTGGTGGTATTTCTTCACCGCTGGGATTTTTATTTTTTTTGCTATGTAAATGAAAAAGTCCAAAAATTTTGAAAAAAAAAGTGTTTTGCTTATAAAATTTTGCAAATAAATATTTAATCATATATCTTGGCCAAAATGTATTCTGTTATCTTTTTAGTAAAAAAAAAAATAATAATATATATATAACCCAAAATTAGTTTATAACCAAAAATTATAATTTTTTAACTTTTTTTTATACATACCGTCACCCTGCTAGTACAGTGTTGCCATGGTGACACTGTACTACTTGTGAAGGGTGATGAAGAATTTTTTATTTTTTTTTGCACTGATTGCTTTTACACCCATAAAGGCTGTAAAAGCAATCATTTCTCCTCTCTGGCTGCATTCTTGCAGCCATTGAGAAGTACTGAGTGAGCTGTGATTGGTCACAGCTTGTCACATGGTACAAGGCTGTTGTGAATAGCCCTGTACCATGTGATCTCTGTGATCATTCACATATTTCACACATAGGAAGCAATGATGTCTGAAGTGACATCTTGCTTACTACTCTGAATGTGATCACTGATTGGCCAATCAGTGATCACATGATCGGGACCTTGCAGAGAGGTCCCGTACGATGATCGGTGTTCCACTGTGTCCAGAGGACACAGCGGGCACCGGATCGTGGTGATGCGCGCTCCCAGGGAGCGCGCACAAGCAGGGGGCGGGGAGGTCGTTTATAAACGGCCACCCGACCCTGCACTGCCACCGTCCTGCCGTTTATATACAACGGCTGGACGGGAAGTGGTTGATGAACATTCGCTCTGGACTGCTATCACCATTGGTGTGCTGTCCTTACTGCTTTCTACATACCTAGAAGAACATACAAAAACACACATAGAAGTAGTCTGTGTTAAGTGTTAAACCAACAACCACCCTGAAAAAAGCTTTATTAATTTCCAACCTAAGAGTACAAAAAGCTAATCATAGAACACAATTCATCATTGAACCCAAAGTCCTCCTGCAGATGTTGTCCTCAAGAACGGAGACCCTGCTTTCCAGCAGCTTTGCAGATAATGTGATTAGTATATATAGGTGTGGTTTACTTGCACCCATTTCCTGTACAAGTGAAAGAGTCCTCAGCATTACAGTGGAGAAGGATGCTTATGAAGCCACATCCATCCTGCAGAGCCGGCAGTGAACTTTCTGTGCGTCCGATTTGTCTCTTCATCGCTGATATGGATGCATCGAGGCCGACTTAATGTTAGTTTTGATACTGCTGGGCATCTTACCTGAAAAAGAAGAAACGAAAAGTATAATGAGTTCAGACGACACAATAATATAAGAGAAACGACTAAATATTGACCAAACCGGGTTCATACCTGGCTGTCCAGCCTGTGCCATTGGTACGCCAGTCATATGCTGCTGCTGGTTAGGTGGTATGGACATGGAAACCTGCTGCATGTTCGCAGCTCCCTGTAACATTCCGCTGGCCCCAGCTTGTCCTGCAACCATGGGGCCACCAGGGCCTGGAGGACGACGGTTTGAAAGTCCTTTACCAAACGCCACGGCAGCCACAAGGGCATTTGTGTCTGCAGGGTTGTAGGTTTGTTTATTTTGACGTAAACCTAGAAAACAGAAAAGCAGTAGGTAAGGAATGGAGCTCTGGTTATACAACACTCACGAAAACTGGATCTTCTCAAAGCAACAAAATGTAAATGCTTTTCTCTGTGGGTTGGTTTAAGTGTTCAGAAAAGTGGCAATTAATTATTTAAAGCAAAGTTCCAGTCTCCTTGGCATATTTTTTTTTTTTTTTTTTTTTAAAGCACCCCCGTGATTCTCTTTGCTAGTACAACCTAAATGGGATACTGTTAGAAGTGTAAGCATTCATCTGGCTTATAAATCTTGAATTACTCAAGGCGTCCCAGGTATGCAGGCAGCGGCCGTTGCTACTGTGGGCATCTGAAGCTCATTTTTGTTTCCAGGATTTGGTACAGCTGGCTACCCAGCACGCACCTCCTGATCTTGCGCCTGTGCAGTCAGGACAGTGTGGCGCACTGTGTTGATTACAGGTTGGCAAAGCAATGGTGATGCCTGCAGAAGTTTACTGCTCTGGATCCTGCTGCTACCGACTCCTTCCCCGCCACTGCTTGATACCTGGTACAGGAGCGGACTGACCATTTGGAAACTCAGGCACTGCCCCGAGGGCCTGGGGTCAGTAGGGGGCCCTATGAGATGCCCCTGGTACCTTTTTTATAAGCTTTTTTGAGTTTGGGCAAGGACACAGGGGCCCCATGATCCCCTATTACCAGATCAGTCCTCCCCTGACCTGGTATAATCACAACAGTGAGTCCAACATTCAAAAACGGCACCTAACTCCGCATCTCATTTCCGGTTTTGGAATAATGCAATGCCAGAAGTGGAGGATGCCCGTTGACTCCTGGGATTGATAACACTGATATTCCAGGAGTCAACGGGAGACCAGAGATTATGTACACGGCCACAGCAACTAGGGCCGGAAGTGGAGGGAATTTTGAAGAAAAAAAAAAAAAAAAAAAAAAAAAAGGTACCTAAACAAAACAAAACTAGAAACAATTCTCAAAGATTACAGGTAGAGGTATCAGCTACCATAGGTGTTAGGGTGGAACTCCGCTTTAAGTAAAGAACACCTACCTATTCCAAAGTGCCCCTTTCGGCCAATCCCTCCACTGGCCTCCATCCCTCTCTGCCAATCCCTCCACTGGCTGCCCATTGTCTAACGGATAAAATTCAAAACATTAACATATAAAGCCATTTATAACTCTGCCCCAAATTACATCACCAATCTTGTCTCCAAATATCACCCAAACCGTCCTCTCTCCGCTCCTCGCACCACCTCCTGCTCTCTAGCTCCCTTGTCTCCTCCTCCCATGCTCGTCTCCAGAGCTTCCCCCATCCTCTGGAATTCTCTACCCCAATTTATCAGACTATCGCCTACTCTGCTCACTTCTAGGCGATCTCTGAAAACTTATCTCTTCAGAGAAGCCTAACCTGCCGTTACCCAATAATGGAATCTTCTACTCTTCCAACCAGTCCATCCCCCACAGTTACTACCTTTTGCACCACTAGCCCCTCCTTCCTAGATTGCAAGCTCTGAGGATCAGGGCCCTCCTATCCCTCTTGTATTGAACTGTCGTGTTGTTGTATTGTCTCCCGTTATATTGTAAAGCGCTGAGCAAACTGTTGGCGCCATAAATCCTGTATAATAATAATAATTTCTAACAAACATATAAACAAGCTATTTAGATCAGATAAAATGGAGGAAAGGCATTGTACCATGCAATGGAGGGCAGACAAATTATTGTAGTTCTAGGTCTACTCTAGTTTACGGATTTCTACTGCAGATTACAAGGCAGAGTATTAAAGTGGAGGTCAGTGGGGGAACCAATGAGCACTACAGGGGAGCAAGGAGATTGCCACCTGGAAGTGTTGGTTTCCCAGCAAACTTCTTAGGAAGATTACTTCTTAGGAAACAAAGCAACGTTGGGCAGAGGAGAATATCCGCCATTTTTTTTGCAAGACAGGATTGTTTTCATCAAGGAAGGGGATGACAGGGTTGTAGAGCTTGTAAGTCCGTAAAGGCAATGCACATACTCTGACCTACAAATGTTCTTTTGAAACATACTTGTCACCCATACATTTAATTTCCAGCTTAAGGACCAATCCTGCCACTGGTGACAATTTGCCAGCTAGAGAATCACTCACAGACTTCTTAGCTTTGTATGGAGCTGCTCCCTCGTTATCAAGATCAGAGATAGGTTGCTCTCTCACTTCTACCTCGCTAAGGATTATAATTCTGAAGAGCTACAGACCAGAGAGGGAGCAATTCCATTAGAAATGGTTCCCTGGCCTGTGTAATTCTGCAGCTGGCATCACATTGCTCATGTAACATGGCTCTAGTGCAGCATTTCCCAACCAGGGTGCTACAGCGCCAATGACGCTCTAGGGCCAAGATGCATGGTGTCATTTCATGGCAACACATGACTGATCCAGGGCAGGCTGCATGCGGGACTGCCCTCGGCATTCAGCAAAAGACAGAAGCCCGCCTCCTCCACCTACCGCCCGCTGCTGGAGCTAAAAAGTAGGACTCTGAAGTGAAGAGAGAAACAGGACAGTGTGATTAGGGGGCTCTGTTATTGGGGGGGGGGGGGGGGACTTATGTATGGGGACCAGTGATGTGATGGGGAACTCTAAAGTATATAGAGGGCCATGACATGAAGAGGACCTCTGGCGTAAAGGGGGGAGGGCTCTCTTGAATTGAATGAAGTAAACTCATCAAGGCAGTTGTGTGCATTCTCATAGGATCAGGTTTCCCATGGATGAGTAACATTTATATTTTCTAGATTGGGTGCCTTTAGATTGCACACACTTTTAAAGGTTGCCATGACTGAAAAAGTTGCTCTAGTGCAATGGTCTCCAAACTGCGACCTGGGGGGGGGGGGTAGATGTGACCCTTTGCTCGCATTTATCCAGCCCTTGGGGCACTATTTCATTCAATAGTACCAACAATAGTGCAAAATTCCCCCCCCCACTGGCACCAATAAAGGGGCCCAAGTTATCCCAATGACACCTAAGATGGGGCATAATTTCTCTCAATGAGAGCAACAATGGGGTCCAAGGACACCAATGATGGGACACAATTCCATTAAATGACATCAACGATGGGGCAAAATTCCTCCCAATTACACCAACAATGGGGCCCAATGACACCAACGATGGGGCACAATAACTCCCACGGACACCAAAGATGGGGCATTGTTTTTTTCCCACTGACATCAAGACGTTTCTACTCCCAATGGCTAGAGTCCGGCCCCTGTAAAGTTTTCTGAACGACAGTAAACTGGCCCTTTGTTTGAAAAGTTTGGAGAGCCTTGCTCCACTGGAACTAGCGTTTCACATGCTGAATTTTTTTAGTCTCATTTTTAACCAGAATATAATCTAAACAAACCCTACATTTAGTTAGAAAAATTTACATTTAATTGATATTTTTCTTAGTCTAGTATCCCTGCAATACTTACTTGCAACATCCGAGTCCCTTTCCTCCTTTATCATCTTCTCCAGCAGGTTGTTGCACAGCTTGTTCATGGTTTGGACTTGTTTCTGAAAAGAACATGATTTAGTTCAACTTCTCTCCCTGGATCCCTCCAGAACAGCAAATCCCAGCATGCACCTGCCATACTGTAAAGGTCATCAAAGGATGAAGGAAGACAGACTGTTCATGCACTCAAGATGGAAAATTAGGTCCAACTAGTGCAGCCCTGTCTATACCTGTGCCGTTTCAGGGGTGATCCGGGCTGCCTCTGCACTCAGCTGCTTTTCCTGCTCTTCCACTTCAGGGTCGGGCTTTGTTCTCAAGTGATCAGGTACCACTTCATGGCTGAAGACCGGGACTCTTCCCTCCGTCAGGCGCTGCGCATATCAAAATCGGTTATATTGCCGGCCTGATTCACATAGGCATACTATAGCATAGGCCAGTGTGAGGGTCATGTTTGCCCTCATGGGGATGCCCAGGTTTTCTGTGCATCTCTGTGCAGAGACCTATTCATTTCAATAGGAACTCAGCAGCTGCATGGACACAGCCGCTGCTCCCAATTTGACAGTTGTGCTGGGGTGGGTGTGCAGCCCTGAACACAGTGTGCGTTTGGCGCCATGCATCTGCATCCACATGGCTGTCAAATTAGGAGCATTGGCTGTGTCTGTGGAGCCATTGTGTCCCAATTCAAATGAATGGAACTGCCTGTACAGGGATGCACGGAACGCCTATGCATCCCAGTGAGGGCAAACAAGGCCCTCAACACAAGCGTACACATTAGCATGTCTGTGTGCACAAAGCCTTACGCTTTCGACAGATGCAGATCCAACTTGTGAGGAACACAGAGGGATCCGTACTCACCATGATCTCCTCATCGCGGTCTGGTGACAGCAAAAGCGGGATGATGACCTGGTTTTTCAGCAGTGGCATCTTTTCATTTTTAAGCACTTTATTGAGCGTGTTCAGTTGCCCGGAGAGCAGCGCAAAATTGTCCAGCACGGACGGCCTACGAAGAGACAACAAGAAAACGAAATTGTGGAGGGCCTGGAAGAAGAATCCTGAAGGTGCTTCTTGTGAAGCCCCCAAAAAAAGAGCGTGGAGAGATGATGAAGAAATGGAAGTGAGGTGGAAGCACATTAAAATGATGGAAATTCAAAAACACGCCAGTGAAAAAAAAGGTCTCTACAAGGCTGGGTACATGTAGGCATTCAAAGGACGAATTGTGTGTGATGAGCACCACCCTTCTATATTAACCAATGGCCCAGCATATGTCTAGCACTAGGGTCTAGACCAGGGGTGGGCAAACTTTTTGACTTGAGGGCCGCAATGGGTTCATATATTGGACCCGGGGGCCGGACCAAGAGTAGATGAATGATGTGTATGTGTCATCCATAGTAAGTATAGTAATATTCCCCCATAGTAAGCATAGTAATTAATCCCCCATAGTAATTAATCCCCCATATAGTAATTCATCCCCCATATAGTAATTCATCCCCCATAGTAATTCATCCCCCATATAGTAATTCGTCCCCCATATAGTAATTCGTCCCCCATATAGTAATTCGTCCCCCATATAGTAATTCGTCCCCCATATAGTAATTCGTCCCCCATAGTAATTCATCCCCCCTATAGTAATTCATCCCCCATAGTAATTCATCCCCCATAGTAATTCATCCCCCATATAGTAATTCATCCCCCACATAGTAATTCATCCCCCATATAGTAATTCATCCCCCATAGTAATTAATCCCCCATAGTAATTAATCCCCCATAGTAATTCATCCCCCATATAGTAATTCATCCCCCATAGTAATTCATCCTCCACATAGTAATTCATCCCCCACATAGTAATTCATCCCCCATATTAATTCATCCCCCATATTAATTCATCCCCCATATAGTAATTCATTCCCCATATAGTAAGTCCCCCATATAGTAATTCATTCCCCATATAGTAAGTCCTCCATATAGTAATTCATTCCCCATATAGTAAGTCCTCCATATAGTAATTCATTCCCCATATAGTAAGTCCCCCATATAGTAATTCATTCCCCATATAGTAAGTCCTCCATATAGTAATTCATTCCCCATATAGTAAGTCCCCCATATAGTAATTCATTCCCCATATAGTAAGTCCTCCATATAGTAATTAATTCCCCATATAGTAAGTCCCCCATATAGTAATTCATCCCCCATATAGTAAGTCCCCCCCCTGTGTCAATTCACTTACCTTTGGTCCGCGCGTTCCTCTCGTATTCCCGCGCCGTTCTGGTCTTCAGGGAGGACTGTGAGAGGAGTTCGTCACGCTGCCCCGCCTACATCCTGGCTGCCCCGCCTACATCCTGACAGCTGCAGAGTCCTGACGTCCGAGAGGAGGGAGGGGGGCGGCCATCCGAGAGGGGGGGCGGCCATCCGAGAGGAGAGGAGGGGAGGGGAGAGGAGGAGAGGGGAGGGGAGGGGAGCGGGCGGCGCCGGCACACAGGAGAGCCGCATCTAAATTTGTAAAGAGCCGCGGCTTGCCGACCACTGGCCTTGCGGGAGCCTAGCTCCGCGGGCCGGATTAAAAGGTCCGCCGGGCCGTATACGGCCCGCGGGCCGTAGTTTGCCCATTGCTGGTCTAGACAGCATTTGACCGGCCCAAACTGGCCATTAACAGCTTTATGTATGTATGGGGGAAAAAAAGTAATTCTATGCATCTGTGAACTTTGCATCCTGCATGAGCAAAGCAAAGACCCACCTGAAAGAGACCCTGTCACCCTCCTAAAACGTTCAGGTAAAAGCAAAGAAAAATAAAGTATTTTAAATGCTTACGTGTGGCGACTTTACCTTTCCAAAAATGATTTTCTATTGATATGCAATGTGCCTTTGAAGTGTACAGCCCCCTCTCTCCTTGCCCTTTCCTCATCTGGGAGCGTCTAATTACTGTCTGTGCTGACCCTGCTCCTCTGCCCGGTGTCTGTAAGAGTTCTTTTTTTTTTTTCATTAAGCTCCGTGGTGCAGTGAGCACACAAATTAACACCACGTACTCCTCCAAAGAGAAAGGAACTCGTCCCTGATCACCTCGGGTGTAAGACTCTTGACGGGAACAGAGTATTCTTAGTTCACCCACCCAAACCCTGGCAGACCCCTTTCTTCAGGAGACCGGTTGAGGCAAGGGCCACCCGAATACCAGGAGGGGCTCCATTGAAGGAATACCCAGACCATAAGGCCACTCCCCCCAACCAAAATCTTCAGGGCATGTCTGAGGACCTGCAACCTAATACTGTAGTCGGGAGTGAGTAAAGTGCTATTTGCAAAAAAAAAGTGCTTTAGAGTACTAAAGAGCAAGACAATGGATGTCCTTCTGGTCGGTATTGAAATTCCTCCGGTCCCAGCCAAAGGAGAAAAAAAGCGTGTAAGAGTGAAGTGACCAAGGTGTCACACTAAAAACACTGAGTTGTCCCGGGCCAGATTGAACCCGGGAGGAAAGGATACTTCCCACCGTACCCACCTTATTCCATTTGGGAACTACTAACCAGCTCCTCCCCCATACAAGAGGAAGTCAGCGTTCTGTTCCCAAAAACTGATAGGAGCAGACACTACACTTGATCGTAGCCAAAAGGCCTAGAAGTCTGTCAAATTGCACATCCAATCTTGAACAAATGTTATGTGACTTCAGTAATAAGGAAATGCACAAACTCAAGGCAAGAAGGGGTAAAATTCCTCCAGGTGGCCAAGACACGGAGGCCTCAACCCAACTAAGACACGGAGGCCTCAACCCAACTAAGACACGGAGGCCTCAACCCAACTAAGACACGCAGGCCTCAACCCAACTAAGACACGCAGGCCTCAACCCAACTAAGACACGCAGGCCTCAACCCAACTAAGACACGCAGGCCTCAACCCAACTAAGACACGCAGGCCTCAACCCAACTAAGACACGCAGGCCTCAACCCAACTAAGACACGCAGGCCTCAACCCAACTAAGACACGCAGGCCTCAACCCAACTAAGACACGCAGGCCTCAACCCAACTAAGACACGCAGGCCTCAACCCAACTAAGACACGCAGGCCTCAACCCAACTAAGACACGCAGGCCTCAACCCAACTAAGACACGCAGGCCTCAACCCAACTAAGACACGCAGGCCTCAACCCAACTAAGACACGCAGGCCTCAACCCAACTAAGACACGCAGGCCTCAACCCAACTAAGACACGCAGGCCTCAACCCAACTAAGACACGCAGGCCTCAACCCAACTAAGACACGCAGGCCTCAACCCAACTAAGACACGCAGGCCTCAACCCAACTAAGACACGCAGGCCTCAACCCAACTAAGACACGCAGGCCTCAACCCAACTAAGACACGCAGGCCTCAACCCAACTAAGACACGCAGGCCTCAACCCAACTAAGACACGCAGGCCTCAACCCAACTAAGACACGCAGGCCTCAACCCAACTAAGACACGGAGGCCTCAACCCAACTAATACACGGAGGCCTCAACCCAACTAAGACACGGAGGCCTCAACCCAACTAAGACACGGAGGCCTCAACCCAACTAAGACACGGAGGCCTCAACCCAACTAAGACACGCAGGCCTCAACCCAACTAAGACACGCAGGCCTCAACCCAACTAAGACACGCAGGCCTCAACCCAACTAAGACACGCAGGCCTCAACCCAACTAAGACACGCAGGCCTCAACCCAACTAAGACACGGAGGCCTCAACCCAACTAAGACACGGAGGCCTCAACCCAACTAAGACACGGAGGCCTCAACCCAACTAAGACACGGAGGCCTCAACCCAACTAAGACACGGAGGCCTCAACCCAACTAAGACACGGAGGCCTCAACCCAACTAAGACACGGAGGCCTCAACCCAACTAAGACACGGAGGCCTCTACCCAACTAAGACACGGAGGCTTCAACCCAACTAAGACACGGTGGCTTCAACACAACTAAGACACGGTGGCTTCAACACAACTAAGACACGGAGGCTTCAACCCAACTAAGACACGGTGGCTTCAACACAACTAAGACATGGTGGCTTCAACACAACTAAGACATGGAGGCTTCAGGAATTATACCCCGTTTCTCTGCAAATGCCCGACAGCTGCATGCAATGCACATGGCTGCAGTACGATTGTAAGAAGAAAACAGATGGTAAAGAGGCGATACAACACCTCCTCACTACCCGCTAAATGCTCCCTGAAGAGTGATCCAAACACACACTGCTCTTCAGATGTCAAAGCAAGTGTGAATGAGCCCAAAGGCAGAACTCCTCCGTATTTTTCTTATACAGCAGCATTCTTATGGAGGGCCAAGACTGGGAGCCAATTAACCACTAGCTGCCAAAGCCAGTTCTGCCATTTCTCTCCTACATGTAAAAATCTTTTTTTTTGCTAGAAAATTATTTCGGACCCACAAGCATTATACGTTTTTTTAAGCACAGGCTCTAGAGAATAAAGTGGTGGGTGTTGCAATTTTTTATGTCACACGACGATATGTGCACAGCGGTTTTAAAAACGCAAATTTTTTTGGGGAAAAAAAAAACACTTTAATGAATTTTAATGCACAAAACACAATATATAATAATGGCAAAATATAAAAGCTGATGTTACGCTTTGTAAACAGATACCCAACATGTCACGCTTTACAACTGCGTACGCCCGTAGAATGGCGGCAAACTACGGGTACCTAAAATTCTCCATAGGAGATGCTTTAAAATTTATTACAGGTTATCAGTTTAGAGTTACACGCTCCTGATGACGTCATATACGATGAAACATGTGAAGCGCTCCTGATGCCGTCATACGACGAAACGCGTAGGGACGGGCTTGATAGCACTACACTCATCCTCTGAGAAGGAATTGCTTTTTGCTGGGATTTAAAATGCCATACACGTGGTTTTTATGGAAGTGCAATTTTAATTTTTTTTTACCTAATAAATACGGTGCTACGCTATAGAAGTTTCCCTTTGATGTTTTTACGATGGTGGAGGAATACTGTGGAGGTTCTGGAGGAGTT